ATAAATACTTTATATGTTATACTAGTTCCAAAAGAAGGACAGCACAGTGAAAGCTAAATTATCACATTTGCTTCAAAGATTTGAGAGGCAGCAGGGAAGTCAAAGGTTGTGCATGTTACTTTGACCATTAGTGTGTGTTAGTCATGTGGCTGTTGCTACAACAGAAACACCTGAGAAAATCAACTCAAAGGAGTAAAGATTCCCTCACACTCACAGTTTCAGAGGTTGCACTGTGTAAAGAAGATGCTCTTAGCCAGCTGGCTCCTTTGTCTCTGAGCCTGTGATGCAGCAGAACATTGCTGCAGAAGAGCACAGTACCCCATGAGAGAGAGGCAGGAGCCAGGGACAACACCTACATACCCCAGAACACATGTCCTCCCAGCAGGTCCACAGCCTATCAGTCCATCAACAGGGAAAGCCTTCATGATCAAGTACCTCTCTCGGTGGGAGCCTCCTCCAAACATAGTTGTACTGGGGATCAAGCCTTCAATCCATGAGCATCTGGGGGACATTTCATATCCAAATCATGTGACCCAGAGAGACTCAGCTGTCCATCAGGTTCACATTTCTGCTAGGCAAACCCAGGCTTTCACCTCAGTTTTCTGGCAGCCTAGTTGCATTCTTTGATGACATGCTTATCACTACTGGGCTGTAGACAGAGCCTTAGTTGCATTAGTATCCAAGGGCATGGCCCTGGGAGACACCTTACCATCTGTTCTTCCTAATCCCCAAATAGGATCCAAGGTTCCCCATCTTCCAACATCAGATGGTTTTAAGCTTTCTCACTACCATGTTGCTTAAATGAACAAGAAGGGGCAATTTTCATGTTTTAACAATTTTCTATTCTATACAATTAGAAAGTCAAATTCTGCAGGACCTTCATGCGTATCTATATATCACCTATGTAAATATATATTATTACAATGTCTTCTACTGTCTCATCTGTTTCCCATATAAATAAAGTAGTCTAGATCTTTCTCATGCTCACTGAACTGTACATTCTTCTCTTCCTCCTCCTCCTCCTCATCATCATCCTTCTTCACCCTTGGCCCAGACACCCAGCATACACATTTAACTTTCAGAGTAAATAGGCCATGAGAACGGTGAGATCTGAGGGCCAAGAGCCTTTTCTTTTCACAATAAATAAGTGAATTTTCTGAATTACAATGGAATCTCAAGGGGTATAAATAGAATGGTGCAGAGCTGCTATGAAATATGACATTCTCTCCTACTCAGTCAATGACTACTTCATAACTCACTCCAGACTGGCAAGTTCTAGAGAATACATTAATGTAAAGCCTTGAGAAGAATGTCAATAGCTCCTTTTCCCACAGATTAAAAAAAAACAATACCACATAGGAATTGAATTCATTCTAAAGCTGCTGAGTGTAGAGAGATAAATAAATAGAACAAAAGACAAAAGGTACACACAGGCCAAAGTCATACATATTCTATGTCCGCTCAGTGTACTTTTTATTTTCAACAAAGATATTTCTTTATGTTTGGTGCTTAGTTTGTATTTTTAAAATCATTCAAATATGCCAGCCTTTATGACACTGACTTCTATTTAGTCTGATCTTCCCTAATACAATATGACTTGAAAGAAAGA